TGTTTCTATTATACTGATTAAAAAGTCCTGTCTGGTTTGTTCAGAGGTCTACTAATATGTTTAACACGCATACACAGATATTACACGTATGATGTACCTCACATGCATGTGTCATCCAACGGTTGTGTTTCCTTTGGAATGTTCTCGTCCTCCTTGAGGATCCCCATTGAATGCCCTTAAGGATGCTGTGAGAGAATAGGAAAATCAATGGCAGAAGCAGCAGTAAAAGCAATCAAGAACTGTCAGTGCTGATGGGAGCTCATAGGATTTGACCTCAAAAACCTCTTAAGTTTGTGTTCAGTGGCCTCCAGACAAGCACACTCCATTCTGTATATGTTGTTAGTCTCAGAATTTGATGCATATCTGCTCTTTGGCTTTGTCTTCAGCCTTTGAAAGACTAAATAGCCAAATTCACTGTCATTCCTAAAGTTAAGTGACCAGTGATCATGAGATTGTAAAATTACCCCCTAATCAATATATCCACCTTCAGTAAGTCATTTTGATGTATTGTATTGTCAGAGTATTCACTTTCAAATATTTTATTCATTTTCAAATGTTGACATTTTAGATGTAAATAGGCTTGAAACTTTCTTTGCATGCTTTGGAGGTTCTGTCCATTGAAATAGGATTATATATTTATGAATTCAGAGTAAAATGCTATAATAAGTAATGTTAATTGTGAACAATCACTTTATACATAAAAATAATGATTTTTCAAATAGAGAAGTGTTTAGCTTGTGAGAAAATTGCTTTGAGGAAATTGTATCATCATCACTGACTAAATTATCAAGCAAAGTTGCTGAAGTTTTTACCTCAGGCAAGTGTTCACCTCAATCATCACAACAAGAAAATAGAAAATGTGACATCTTGATCACCATGCCACTTTGAGTTGATTCCCATAAGGACACAGCCAAAGAAATCATTTTCCACCTCTCACTTCAGTTGAAATTAAACTTCTTTTCACAATCCAAATGTGTAGTTTAGTGACAAAACATACTATTTAGAAGTGACAGTTCTGGGGTATTATTATTACTGTACTGAGCTCATACAATTTAATACCTTAAATTTTGATGCTTAAAATTTTGAACAAATAAAATTTGTATAAAAGCTCTGAGTTTCTTATTCCCAGATATTCATTCTGTGATGGCTGGGCTGACCAGACTTGTCTGTTTGCCTGCAAAGAAGGCTTTCGGGATTTTATGCCCCCAAATCAGGAAAGCCTGGAACAAGCCAGACTACCTTAGTAATGGCATCTTAGTCAGCCTCAGCCTTGGATTGTGCTGACTACTGCCTGTAACCTCTAATCAAAAAATGTGCCTTTGGTGTACTTCTGCCACTAAGAGCTATAGGATTTGGGAGTGTGCTTCATGGTTTCCTTGGATTAACCCACCTCATCCTCATAGCGATTTTGTCAGTTATGATTATTGTTAGGTGAAAAGCATACCTACTGCTGACACTAGTTAGGAAACTGAGCCCACATCCAAAAGGTTGTCATGGGAGAATCATGATGTGAACCCAGGTACTCAAGCTCTACCACACTCTTCAGTTCTCCACAATGGATAAAATGAGATCTTTCATCTTTAAACTGTAGTACTTTGTAGCTATAGTCTGAAATTATATTTTTCTAACTTAATCTTTTTCTTTCCATTAATTATAAACTAATTTTACTCACCCAACTCATTCCAAATATAAATTGCATATAATCATGAATTAATTTTGAAAGTGCATGAGATTTAACTCTTAGCTACTTATGATTTGGATCAATGTCAATGTAGCAAGATAGTAAGAAACATATAATGATGAGTTCAATGCAGAGAGGTGGGGTGGGTAGAGTGAGAGGTAGTGTAGACATGCAAGTAGAAGTCAAAGTATCTTGACAATATTTGCTTAGAACATTGTTTCATTCTAAGAGAAGAAAAACATGATCACATTTTAAAATGGCTATGCATCCCAATTGTAATAGTGACCAGAAATGTGTCATCCAAATTTTAGGCACAGATAAGCTTGGTGATCATCTAGCCAGCATCCTACACCCAAAGACACTTAGCACAATACAAAGGCGCAATGTTCTCTTAAGTCCCTTCTGCTCCAGAAGTTTATGCTTCTCTGTCAGCCTGTCCCACTGTCTGCATATGCATCTCTACTGCCCAAAATTGCAAAGAGAAGTATGCAAGGGGCAAGTTTTGACACTAAGAGGAAGGGAATATTTAAGCTACAAAATGCCTCTCCTACAATATGCTACTATTGGTTATATGTAGTTCAAAATCTCATACCATTCTGCAAACTGAAAGGAAGATGTGTCTTCATATTAGAACTTACTTGAGATATACAAGTGTTCTCAATTTGAGGCTTGATGCCTGTAGTTAGGAGTCTTATCTCTGGTTCATAACTACAGAAAGAGAAAAATAGAAACACCAAAGGTTCCTGCCAGAGTCACACAGCATTTTGAGGGTGACTATAGCATATTTTGAATAATTTGAATATAGTGTGTCTATCATTTGATATGCACAATTAGAAAAAAAACAGACTCTGTTTTGTGATGTTAGGATAGCAGGAGCATAGTAAAAATAAATAGCAAAGTGTATTTCAAAAACGGCAAAACACATTTTAAAGAATTGAGTCATTGTGTCTTACAGCTGACATACTCTTTATCCCCTAGAAGACATTAAAAAAAAAATCTTAAGACTTTGGGATTCTATTTAAGGTCAGGACTGTTTTCATTTTCTCTCTTTCCATACACATGCACACACGCACACAAGTGTCTCATTGAATTTCAAAATATGCAGAACATGCACATGTACACACAATTAGATCTAAGTGAACAATATCCATGCTCAAATCTATTGAAAATTTAGGTGCTTAGTGCATAGAGGATAATTTACAGAGAAATTAAAGCTAATGAGATTGATTCAATGCATTCCAGGTACTGTTAAGAGTTATACTCCTATTATTTATTGAAGGTAAAAATTTCCATTTCTAAAAATACAGAAAATAGTTACCCATTTAATATGTTCAGAAAATGATGCCAGAGATGCCTCATTGTGTTAATTTGAATTCCTGCACATAAAATGCACATTGAAATGGAACATTTAAATTAAAAATAAGTATTTGTTGCCATGTCTACATTTGGAAAGTAAAAATCTACAATTTGAGAAAGGAAGATAGATGTGGAAATAATACAAACAGCAATGGAAATTTCCCAGCCTAAGTCATTTCTCCCCCTACTTTATATCACCAGATGGGACAGACTTGATGTTAGAGCTTTGGCTGAATCAGTTATGTACTCACCCTTGTGTTAAAGAGATACTGTAACTCCACTTGGAAATTACCGTAAGCCACAAAACAAGTAATAAAAAACAGGATTCAACTTGTATCTTTATATCTCTGTTTCTATATATGCTTCCCATGTTCACTTGCTTGTTTATTTGTCCTTTTAATTAGGATTATTGAATTTCTTTAATATATTTAAAGCAAATGTTCAGTTCCTGGGAAAAATAGTGATATAAACATTAACCACCATATGACCTTATGGCAGACTTTGACTAGGAACCTAGGAGATTCAGAATTCAGCATGGAAAATGAACCCAAAACTTATATGTCTGAGGAGGATTTTGGTTGACTAGACATAAACAATTATGAATTTTCCAATAGTTCACATATTTAATACTAACTCACTAAACTATATAGGCAAGGCTTGCCTTCTGTGTGTGTCTCAGAAATTATTGCAGTTGTGGGGTTTTTGTTGTTGTTAATCACAGCTATCATATGCCTGGTGAAGAAACTAAAACATTATCCAGTGCATAAAAATCCATTTCAGGCACATGCTACTTACGTTTTAACCTTGAAATTGATGATCATAGGTTTGTTTCTGTCTTTTTACAGAAAGATTTTTTTCCATTCTGGAGAAGAAAGACTCCATGAATCATGCTTCAATCACATCCATTGAAAAGAAAGATATTAAGAGGCCACGTCAAGAAAGTAAGTGCAGTATAACTCACCATAATATTTGGGTTCTATATTCTCAACTCTGGTGGTCCACAGAAACACAGGAGATTATTCTTCTTATTACCCCCCACAAAACATGGCTTAATGCACACACATAGCAGGTGTTTGATAAATGTCTGATTATGCGTTAAATCCATAATCCTGCCAGTGTCCTTATTATTCTCCAGATAGACTTGGCAAGAATAACATCTGCTTGTCAGAGATATTTATTCACACAGAGTTGTTTTTATACTGTTACCCTTGTTACTCCTAGCAGTATGGAGTTGGAGTTTGTTGTCATATTTAGAACAATCTATCGAGTTGGAATGATAATGACAGGTAAACTGTAGTCCTGAATGATCATGGACCACAAACAGAATGATCATGGACCACAAACAGACCTTAACTTAAGAAACACTGAATTAATAAAGATTTTCCCTTTAAGTCATGGGAAAGCCAGTCTTTTGTTCTATTCAGGTCTTTAACTGATGGGAGAGGGCTCACTCAAAACAGGGAGGGTGTTCTCTATTACTCAGCCCACCAATCCAAATGCTAGTCTAGAATAATGTTGGAACAACTGCCTTAGCATCCCATGACCTAATCAAGTTGGTACACTTATTTACTACAATGTGCATGAAGGAATCTGTCATATGAAGTAGAAAAAATATAACTAGTATAAAGTAGCCTGTTCTATGTTAATGACTTAGAATATATTTTAGCTACAAAAAAATCTTAAATACATAGAATTGTCTTTGTTAGGTTTTGAACTATAATGAAATCCTCAGCCATCTATTAATTTTTTAAAATTAAAATCATTATTTGTAAACAGAATCCAAGTATTATTCATATATAGAACTCTCTAAAGAAGAAAAAAAATAGTGCTGGAAATTTAATCACTCAGAGTTAGTAACTTTTAAAATTCTGGTATAACTCTCTGTACAACTATTAATATTTTTTGAGCCTGCATTTGTATTATATTGTACCCAAAGTTCATTAAACAAACTTTATGAATAGTTTTTCTTGTGCTTAAACATTCATAATTAACATAATTTTAACATTGTTAACATTCACAAGTATTAATAATATTACTAAACACTTCCCCACATAGATTCTCACCCTCTCAAGAAAACCAATTTTTAAATTTTAGATATTTCCTCTTTTCTAAATCACAAGATTATAGTGTTATTTCTTGATATTTCTGTTATAATGTATATTTCTACAAGATAAGAGTTTTATTCCTGCCTTCCTCTCTCTCTTTCTATCTCTCTCTTGCTCAGTCACTCGCTCTCTCTCCTTTACCTTTTATTCTTTACTATAACTACAGAACATTTATTTGTTTTCACTGAGACTTTATCTTGAGGACATAACTGAAGTCAGTCTACTCAAAAAGGGTTAGTACAGTGTATAATAATGAGCAGATATGAGAAGTTTGAAGAAATGGAGCTAACAAATACAACCTAAAACATCATAAAGTTTAAGTTAAAATGGTGAGGGTCTTTTTCAGATTGAATGAGGGCCTCACATTTCCTCCTCCACATTCAATCCTGGATGGAAACAGGGTTAGCATAACATAGAACTTCAGCCAGTCTTCTATTTTTAACTCAGATTTGTTCTTTTGTCCTCAAAGACTCTCATTCTTGACCTTAGAGTCTTAGAGTGTGGTAGACCAGTTTCCTGTCTGTGTACTTCACTCCTACTGATTTATGTTTCAGCTTCCTGCACCTTATCTTTCCAAGTCAGAAACTCATCCATGTGTCTTCTAGGTTTCCCAAATTTATATATGGTTGTTTCCTTTCCAATTCTATCTGTCTTTTTAAGTTTATACTTTAAAATTTTCCTTTTATTTTTAAAAGATTCATTTATTTGTGCATACAGAACTGGGGTACAGACCAGAGGCTCAGGGGCGGCGAGAGGCTTCACCAGAGACAGAATGGGGAGCAGAACAGACAGATCAAAGAAGTACACTGCTGAGGGGAGCAGCGGGCCGGCCAGGAGAGGTCTGCCACGCCATGTGGTCACCTCCGGGGCAGGCGGGAATCGAACTCATGCGGAAGCGGCTTTAGATTCTCAGTGCTGTGCTTTAACCCGCTGCGCCACCAGGGAGGGCCTAAAATTTTCCTTTTTATCTATTATGTTAAGTTAGGTTTCAGAAAAGGGTGGGGTAGATGATTGTATTAAATTATGACCTTAACTGTAAACTTTGACAAATGAATTTTACCAATTAGAATTTAAGTCAGTCATTTGTTGGTCTTAAAATGGGAAATAGAACATGGTCAGTTTCTATATCAGTTTCTACATATTGACCATTACCCAGGTTAAAAGAAATTTGTTTGTCCATTACCCATACACAGAGATTTATATTAAATGCAACTCCACAAGAGAAACCAATTCCATGTCAAACAAGGAACCAAGGTCTCTATAGAAGGGATTTAATCCAGCTTGATTCTAGAGAGATTTTATGGGATTGAACAAAGAATGACAAAATCTGATTTTCCCTTGAGAATTACTTAAAAGCATAGAGTTTCAACTATTCTAGGGAGTTTTTTTTTCTGGAATTTCTATGGAATGCTTTTTATATTTGTACAATTTATTGTAAGGTAGTTATAATTTAAAACAACAGAATATCAATGTAGTAGATACTTGTTAAAAACTACTTTTTTTTTCAATTTTATCTGATTACCTGTCTTAATTTACTTTTATTTTAGTATGCATGGATTTTTCTGGCTTATTGAGCTAAATTGAAATGAGCTAGTAATTATCAGGGTGGGAACTTGACTTAATCTCGTTTTAGGGGCATACTGATTTCATAGGGAAAGTTTTTGAACCTATTCTAAGAATGGGATGAGAATAATTTCAAATCTCAGAAAGCTTTTGAATGATTGAAAAAAATTAATAAATAATAGCTTTAAAAAACAAGATCATAGTTTTTAAAAAATACCATTTGAAAAAAGAAGTGACAGACAATAAAAAAAATGTTAGTTTTGGTGAGTCAGCATCTTATCGCCTTCAGCTTCATGATTGGAGGAATTGTCTACCTTATCAGTTACTTTAATATTTGGTTTCTTTAAGATTTATTTTTATGTGTTCATGCATACAAAGACTGCAGTGTAGGTCAGAGTTGTGGAGGAGTGAGAAATTAGCCAGAGACAGTGGGGAGCAGAACAGGTAGATCTCCTGAAATACACTGCTAAGGGGAGCGGTGGGTGGAACTGGAGAGATCTGCTGCATCATGTGGGCCAGCTCCCTGGCCTGGAGTGGAATTGGTGCTACAGTAGCTGGCAACAGCTTGACAGCACTGAGACTCTAACTTCTGCACTACCTGCACTACCAGGGAGACCCTTTATGAATTTTGAAGATAAACAGAGGAACCTTATACTAATAAGCCAACAAAACCATCTAGCAGTCTTCCCAACCACTCTCTTGCAACTAGAATGTGAACGTGTAACCTTGCTGGCTGCTTATACTCACCAATGTGGAATTTCTATCAGGCGCCAGTGATGCAAAGAAGTAAGGCTGGGGAGAATTAATTTCACTGGCAGTAGTGGCAGGTTGGCCAGGGACTACACTAAATGCAGTGACGACAGTGAAGAAGGTGTCCAGTGTCTACTGTGGCCATCATGGAAGCAGCATCCTCACCCAATGAGTCCTTCCTTTCATCCTGAGTGTGTATCGCCACACTTTCTGGTAACTCCTCAGTATTTTATTTATGGAATCATTTCTGTTGACCTTTACAGATTGTTTCTCTTGTTTAAAAGTAAAAACATCAGCACATGAACACTGACTACAATCCAACAACCCTTTTAGACTACAACTGCATTACTATTGGGGTTAATCAAAAAGATATAGAGCAAGCCATATTAGAAACTGAGCTCAGGGAGCATTGGTCTCTCTGGCCAAGAGTCCTTTTCCCTTTGTTCCTCAGGGAAAACCTTTCTATTTTTATTGTGTATAAGTTCCCTGTGTCTGAGGATGTATACAGTCTCTATTTAGGGGCAATTGTGAGACATGCCTTAGCATTTTGTAATCCCATCATTGGCTGGACATTAGTGAAGCAATATAATCATGGTCACCAAAGTGGAGACAACAGGCAGATTCATCTAGGGTTTTTGTTGAGGGTGATGTTAAATGTTCACAAGAAGACCCACAGATCAAAGGAAGATCCCCAAGAAAGTCATCTTCAAACTTGCTGTCATTAAGGTTGTATTTGGTTTTCTCTGTTCCCTTTTCTTTGTGTTTTATCTGGCTGTCATGATATGTGGCATGGAATGAATTGGAAGGAAAATAAAAGATGTTTCAGTGTGGACAGTAGCCTCTATAAATCTCAGTGAGAGCTTACTCCTTGTACCTGTGCTTGAGACATTGAACCGCCTACTCCCATGATGCTCAGTGGGCACTGAGAAGGCAATAAAATGCCCGAGATTATACAGGCTATCTTGACACTGGTGCGCAGGGAGTTGACAGCTACTAAATGGAAGTGAAGCTCAGCTACTAAAGCTCAGGAAGAAAGGAGAGGAGGTTCCCAGTTGTTGCCAGTGGTGCTGAAAACCAGTTAAGCAGAAAAAGGTGAGCCTATAAAGAAAACATTTGACAAAGTCCACTCTGTATTATTGACATAACTCAAAATGGCTTGAAGAAAAGATATTAAATGTGGCTCACCATAGTCAACTTATTGTTCAACCATGAGGGGTAATGAGGAGGAAAATTTAGCTTTTGAGGTGCACAGGCTTTGGCTCAGGCTGTTGGCTCAATTCTGGTTGCTTCCCACTAGCTGTCTGACTTTAAAATAAGTCACTCATTCTCTCTGCATCACAATATTCTCATCTCCAAAGATGCTCTAAAAATTACCATAGTTTTTCTGGAGCATAATGGAAGACTATTTATAAATTCCTGTATATATGCTTGAAACATAGTAAGTGTGCACTGAATTGCAACAATCACTATTAGGAAGGAAAGACTCAAATTTGAGCACTGTTCTGAAGCACCTTCTACTGGCTGGGCTTCTGGCTGGCTCTCTCATGGGTCAGCTGCATGGACTTGTCTAGCTTTTAGTTTTTGTGCTTTGGCAGTAACTTCCCTGGACCACTTAGCTCTCTACTCTATGACTGGCACACATATTCCCATCATTTTAAACGTATCCAGCTGTGTATGATCAGCTACCATTCCCATGTCTACTAGAATTTAAATGTTAGCACAATTCGCATGACTGGAAACAATAATCTAAAATGTGTTATTTATTTTTCTGCCTCAGTGGCAGCTTTGACCTGTTTGGTTTCTCACAAATTCTGTGCTGTCCATTGCAATAAATTTAAGAAAACCGTAGAAATCCAACCTGGAAGGGTTTCAAGTACTTTCTGTCCACTAGCATGAAATCACTATGAAATGTCCTCTTTGCTTCTTAGTCTGTTGAACTAAATGCTAACTCAGACATCACAGAACTGCTAGTTTACAATGTACACTGTGAGTATCTGATGATATGCAAATCAGTTGTTCAGAGTATTCTGTTATTTATTCGTAATATTTTGTTTTGTTGTCACCTCTATCCAAAATTGGCATCTTTGCATCCTTTGTCGTCTCTAATGTTTAGTTAACAGGTTCTTCATGTTAACTTTATCTTGGCTTATTCTTCTAGCTTAAGACATTCTTATTAGGTTAAAAAAAAAAACCTTCTAGCTTAGGTTTCAAAAAACACATTTCCTGCAAAGTCTCTCTTTAAGTTCACAGGTGGCAGTAAAGAAACATCTCTCCAAGAATCAGCTTCAGTCCTCTCTAGCTATGTAGTTGTGACCAAGTGGCTTAATCCATGTAAGTATCCATATTTCCTCTGAAAATTGGGGTTTATTTGCTAAAACCCTCATGTGAAGATCAAAAGATAAGTAAAATGAGAAAAATAAGGGTATTGTTATCCAGTCAAGGTTAAAACAAAGGTGGTGAGTGCAAGGGTCATAGGTAGTAAAGAGGCACTATCATCTCCTTGCTCAAAATAAAAATTCTCATTTTTCCTAAAATCAATTTGTTGACTTCAGGCTGAATGCCAGACTCTGAAAGCAAATGGAAGCGATCATTTCTAGGCTCAGAAAAATCAGATTTTGCCACTATTGTTCTTAGTATTCTTTATTAAAACCTTTTTAGCGTCTAGGACTTAAAGAAATACTACCGTGGAAATTATAAATTGCCTCTTTGAAAATTAGCTTGGCTATATTTCTTTATAGAAAACATTTTCTTAATTAAGGAAACGTGCTTATCATGTCTTTGTCTGACCCTGTCTCATGACACAGAGTAGGGAGCTATTCACTTCGTCTTGCTGGACTCATGGGCAAGTGCATTTTCCCATGAAATGTGAGATTGTTTGACCTTGGTATAGTGATAGAGCAGGTCACCTGGCACCCAGTGAACTCACACAGGAGCTGGATGACCAATGGAAGAGTTTTCCTTCTCTAAGCGGGGATGCTTGAACATGCAGGTCATCTCTCTGTTGTGATCAGCTGTCTGCCATCTGGATCTGTCAAGAGAAGCCTGTGACCCGATCCACAAAATGAAACAAAGGCCTTCGTGCAAGCTCCAAGAAGGGAGAGGTTTCTATATTAACATCTGAGTTCTCTGTGAGACTCACTTCTCCAGGCCTCAGGAAAAAATTGATTTGATGGAGAATCAAAATGTCTTCTAATTATCCTATTTGATAGGAAGACATAGAGCAATTAGGGGATTGATCCCGTTACATGGTGCACACATTCCCACCAGTTACCTTCTAACTTGACACTTGCCGCTCAGTCCCAGAGCCTTTGTTCTTTCTGAAACCCTTCTACCAGCTCTTCAGGCAATTTGATTTATTATAAATTGTGCTGTTGCCAACATATCCCCAAACATTTGCTTTTTTTTCCTCTGTGAAATTAACTCAGATGTAACCTACTGCTTGAACCAGCTCTGCTGTGCCTGTGTGTGTGTGCGTGTGTGTGACAGCGAGAGAGAGAGACTGAGAGTGGGTTTGTCAATGTGGGATGTGATCTCTGTGTACTTACTGTGTTCTGGACAAAAGCAAATGTGGAGTGAAGCCTTAGATGCTTCACAGCTATGACTAATCAGCTCTATTCCCATGCCAACTCTAACAATTTGTGGTAGCTGCTAGAAAGTTATGGTTGGAATTTTGAGATTGGGTCCAGACGAGGTAGGAGAAAGGGTTGTGATGCATTAACAGTGGCAGCTGTGGTCACGGGGAAGAGAAAGCTGGCCCATGCCTGCACGTGTCTTTGTAAACATCAGGGCCTTGACAACGGCAAGCCATCTCCCAAAGATGCAACATAGTAAATACTCATGACAAAAGGTTCAGGGCAGAGGAGAACAGGATTTAAGATGCAGAGCACTATATAACACTTAGCCCTTTGGAATATTTTCTCTATGTGGGGTCTCATGTTGCCCCTCTAACAACCCCAGAAGGTATATGTCAATTTTATCTCCACGTTGCAGCAGTAAAATGAAAGCCTAAGAGAATGTAAAATGGTCAGTCGAAGGTCTCATGTGGATCATAAATGTCAAACTCACCCCCAAGTCATCTTTCTGATGCTAAACTGTGTGTAAAGGTCCTGAGTCAGTCAAGCCCTAGGTTTCCCCTAGAGTCAAATGGTTGATCTGAATATTTGGGTTAGGTCTCAGTCTTCCCTGAGGTTCTCAGAAGAGAGAGGCATTGTGCCTACTTGGGTCCACTGTGGGCACATTTATCTCTTTTGAGACATCCTTCTTTGTATAAATCTTAGAATAGTTGTCATTATGTTAGTGGGCAGAATGAAGGGCTCCCCAGGAACCCCAAGCCTGCCTGCTCTAGGTTCTGCCATCTACCTCATAAAGACCAAACATTCTCTTAGTGTGTATGATCTCCAGTTGAAAAGGACCTTCATACAATTAGTGTGTGATAGAGAGTAAAAAAGATCGTTTTCAAACAAAACACCCAAAGTTACCCATTCGTAGTGGATAAATGCCCAGCCAAACAGGGTTGGCCCAAAACAGAGCCACTGAGGCCTGAAAGCCTGCCACAGTCTAGGTACTTTCTGGCAGGTACCCGTAGGAAAGAAGCAGAGGGGCCAGACAAGTCTGGAAAGAGAACAAAAAAAGCAAAGTACAAGTCAAGGTAATGGCTGTCTTTGTTGGTCCCCACATGTCCTCTCACCCTTTGAAACAGCTTAACCTGCTTCATTTGTAAACTGATGTTAATCCGACTGCTCAGTCTAATTTCCGTAGGCTAAGTGAACGCCTCCACCACCCATCTTCTGCGTATAAAAATGTGGTGACTCTTTGGGAAACAGTTATCTCCTTCCTTAAGGGTAAAATTCTAAATTCCTTCCCTTGGATTTTTGCCATGGTTCTAATTAGGATATGCAAATATACTTATGCAAATGAAGCCAAGGATCACAGAATTTTGATGCTTTGAAGGAAGAGTTTGGGTAAAATAAACTCCCTCCAGAATTTCCTACCAATACCACCTAAAATACTTACTTTTGTTTTTGGAAGCTGAAGAGATGTTAAGACTTTGCTCAGGCTCCTTATTTAGGGTTATAAGTAGGAGGATGCTAAAAGTCTACAAGACAACTCCAGTGGGCACAGAGTGTAGAATGCTTTGTTTACGCTGGAGTCTCATCTCAACGGAAGCTGAGGTGAATGCTGTTTCCCATGTTCACAGGTGAGAGAGAGGCAATGGAGTGACTTGCTCTGCTCCAGACCGCTGAAGAGCAGTTAAAGCAAAATGAAAATCTAGTGTTCGGCCATCTCTGGTGGCCCAGCGGGTTGAGGCACAGCACTGAGAAGCTAAAGCCACTTCCACATGAGTTCGATCCCCGCCTGCCCCGGAGGTGATCCACTTAGCGCGCAGACCTCTCCTGGCCTGCCCGCTGCTCCCCTCAGCGGTGTGCTTCCTTGAGCTGCATGTTCTGCTCCCCACTCTGTCTCTGGTGAATCCTCTTGCTGCCCCTGCGCCTCTGGCCTGTACCCCAGTTCTGTATGAACAAATAGATAAATCTTTAATAAAAAAAAAAAAGAAAGAAAAGAAAATCTAGTGTTCTTTTATTCCTTGCCTTCTGCTCTTTCCCCTCTAGGACACTCTCATTGGAAGTAAATGCTAACTATGTATATAGCACATCACACTTGATAAATTACTTTCGCTAATATATTTCAACTCAAGCATTTATTAAATTCACTAACTTCAGAGGGTTATTGCCATCTTTTATGTGTTTACTAGACATTATTCCAAGTTCAAGTGATAAGGTCCCTATTCTGTTATTGTCTTATTACCAGTTAGATGGAGACAACTAATATACAAGCAAACAAAAATTGAATAAAGTAAATTGGAGTAGTGATCATTGCTCTTAAGAAAATAAAATAGAATTATGTGAAAGGTTATCACCCATTAGTGATAGGAATAGAGTGTGTAGGTGTGAAACATTTGAAGGGGTGGGTAAAGAAAGCATCTTTGAAAATGAAACCGTACAAACTGAGAGCTAAATGGCAAGAAACAAACAAAGAATGTCTAGGAAATTCCTGTAGCCCTGATGTGGGGGAGAAGTCGATAGCTAAGCTAAGCTAAGCTAAGGCTCATGTAACAGAGTGGAATGAGCAAGAGGAGAATTAGAAGATTTTACTAGAGAGATCGGCAGGGGTCAGGTCAAAAGAATGCTGTGCTAGGATTAAATTCAAATTGCAGTGGGATGACTAAAGGATTTTAGGAAATTGTTTGCCCACAATAGTTGTAGGGTAGATATTATCCTTATTTTACAAATTTGAAAATCTGGAAATTGTTTAGCAATCTACCTAGTGAGACTTAAGTAAAAAGCAGTAAGATCCCAGCCTTCAGAGTCTCACTCTAGGCTCATTTGCCTGTGTACAGAAGGCAGGGCTGGACATAAACAGACAGCGGAGGAAATGGGCAGCAACAATGGCTGTTAGGCTCCCAAGAGTAGAAGAGATGTGTGCCCTAGAGCAGACCCTGAAGCCTACTTACTATAAGAAATCCTCCAGTGATCTAGGTCCATCTGGAAGAGATTTTAAATCTGAGTCCCTTTGGCTCAAGCTTAAGATAAATATTCTATTGAAGTTACTATAAAATATTTAGCATTATTGAATTTCTCCTGAAGTATAATTTGCTTGACAGATTGCTTTGGGAAAGTAACCAGTGAATACCAAAGAGTAGGGAATAGGAACATCACAATCATCAAGCCACAAGCTTTGCTCCACTGTTCTTTCTGCCTTATCCTGGCCTCCCTGCTGCAGATCAGTGGTTGTAACCCATGGTTGTGGCTAAGCGAGAAAAAGTCTTTACAGGCTATTGTAAGTAAGATCTAGCTCATTTATGCATCACCAATACTATCACTATACTCACACTTTCCCTTTTCTTTGCCTTCCCAAGGAAAAGCTCATGGGGTTAATTACTCATTTAGCTATCACTGATGGCATTGATACTGTGCTGTGGAAGGGCAGGCAGGAGGGTAGAGCATGTCAGTAGCACATGAGCTGGGACTTTAAGGCTTTCATAGTCCAGAGGTCTTCTGTCTCTGAGGTCTGTTCCCTCGTGTGACTCCTTTTGTCTTTATTGTTCCGTTTAAACTAATTCTATCTATGCAACAAGATTTTAGGTGCTGCAGAAGAGTGTGATTTGAGCTTTGCTCCACCCCCTAATTGCCATTCAGACTTCATGTTCTTCAGTGGAAAGGAGGAGAGACAGCTGTGGTCTCGTCTCTCACTTGTCTAATTTCTCTATGTTAAAGAATGGCTCATACTTGTTATCTTTTATTATTTTCAGCTAACTGCCCCCAACTTCATTTTCAAAAATATTTTCTCTGACATTAGTTTCCCTCCTCTTTCTTGCCTAACCTGTTTCCCAGCCTGTGGCTCTTGTCCATAAGAGGGCGAGATCAACTCTGCTACTTAGAATTCCTCTCTTTTTTGCAATTAATTATGATTCATTGGTCTTTTGATCACTAAGCTTTCTCTACTGAATTAGAAAGCCAAAGTCCTTGATACCTCTCCAACAAAATTAATACCGTGGGTATTACTATTGCATCATGTGGTTTTGAAAAGCTCTAAGAAACACTAATAAGAATTACAGCCAAACAGGAGAAACCTATGAACAGCCAGGACAGATCATAGAATAATTCTTTCCACACTTTTGTCATTTTGTTTTGCTAATAGTCAGATTCATGCAGTGTTCATTTGAAGGAGCCTTAGAGATTATCTGACAAATGTCATCACTTTTTGGTGAGGAAACTAAGACATAGAGCAGAAATAATCACTGGAATGGCTACAAATTTAAACCATTCCACACACATGAAAAAAATTTACATAAGGGATGTTTTATAAGAATATTACTTGTGTTTGTCTCACTGTCCATTGTCCCATCTGTATTGCAGTGGGCATGCTCTGTCCTGTGTCTGTGCTGAGAATGGCACCATCCTTATCCCTAGTGACAGAGCTGGAGCCCTGAGCAGGGGTCAGGGTTCAGGGCAGGGCAAAGGAAAAACTCTGCTCCATTTTCCCAGTCAAAGTCAGGATCCTATTTTTTCCCCAAAGATTTATTTATGCATACAGAACTGGAGTACAGGCTAGAGGTGCAGAGCCAGTGAGAGGACTCACCAGAGACAGTGGGGAGCAGAACAGGCCGATTGATGAACTACACTGCTGAGGGGAGCAGCGGGCGTGTCAGAAGAGGCTTGCTGCGCCATGTGGGTCACCTCGGGGCTGGGGATCGAACTCATGCTGAGGTGGCTTTAGCTTCTTAGTGCTGTGCTTTAACCCACTGCACCAGCAGGGAGGGCTCTCAGGATCCTTATGAAAAACATAGAAACATAGTCTATTCTCTGAAATCATAACCACACTGCCTTCAACATGAGCACAGTTTAAACCTCAAGATTGGTTAGCAAAACCAGAACCCAATATACACAGCTGTGGCTCTAGCTGTTAAATTCAAGCTCCTGTCCAGACTTTCTCTTTTTCCAAAATACCTACAGTTATGTTACCCCTCAATCCCAACTCCATCTTCTCTCTCTTGACCCCTTTGCTCAAGGGCTAGGAAGCCAGTAGACAGAGGCTGTAGAAGTTACAGTGCTTGAGAAAAATAAGCCCATTTTCTATGTGGAGACTAGGTACTTGTCTTCGGCCAGGTTTATCCTTGGTGATAGTTTCAATTCTGTTTCCTGTATTGACCTCATTGACCTCAGTTGTAAGTCTCAGCAGTTACTGTAGTGTCTGACATGGTGGTTTCTGACCACAGGAGGTGTTGTCATCACACGCCTTATTCTTTAGTGTAGTGGTTTACAGCCTTCACTGTGCATTAGAATCATCTTTCTACTGATGCTTATTTCTACCAGCATGAATCATTCAACCTGAATCCCAGGGAGTAGAGGTAAGTACTAACTTTGTGTCAAACCTCCCCAGAATTTCAGAATTTCAGTCAGATACAAAAACTGCTACATGGTTAAAAGCCGTGTGAGATTGAATACTGACTGAATAACATCTTTTTAGTCAGGGTTCTTTTCCTGGTACCACCCAAAATTGCATCACATGAACAAGTACACACTATTCTTATTCTCAAGTTTTTCTGAATGTCTCTAAGACTTAACATGAGAGTCTTTCTGACTTTTCTTTCTCAGGAATCTATGCAAATATTCCACAAGTTGTTGACCCTGGCCAAAGGCATGCAAGTATTTGTATGAGCTTAAAAATAATAGAAGCCATCAAAGAAATCTCAAAAAATGGGAACAGACTTCTTGTCCAAAGAGAGGTAGGGCATGAATATTGTTTGGTGTAAAGGCCTGAGGTGAGAATTAAGCAGAGCTCTAGGAAGACAGGGTTATTAAGACGAGCATGGCGAGACTACAGGACAAAACTGTTCCATTCAAGGACTCCATATAAGTATGAGTTAAGACGAGCATGGCGAGACTACAGGACAAAACTGTTCCATTCAAGGACTCCATATAAATATGAGTGAAAGGGTAAAGTTCATTCACAACCAGAAAGGATTAGGAAATCTTTTAGCAGAAAGCATCTATCTTGATGTGAACTGTGCCACTCCTGGGGAAAGAGGCAGTAACTGCTATCATTTGAGCTGTTCCCAAGCCAAATGGCTTGTAAGTGACAAAGTCAAGATTCAAATCAACGCTTCTTGATTGCAGGCCAAGTTCCTCCTCACCCCCATTAATGGACTTTGATGTGTCCATAAGCCTGGTGAGCTTTAGTACAAGAGGTAGATTTTAAGAGAAAGTGGAGAAGGTAGAATCTTTCCCAGATGGCGTCCATGCACATTAATCAGTCTGTGAATCTTCTCCCGTCAGCAACAAATGTCTGATCTGCTGCTTTCTTTTTGTACAGTTTCTGACTTTTCTGGTGACTTTTGGAATCACAGAACTTTTGAGCTGCTGAGGAACCCCAGAGACCATCTAGCCCAAAAACTCAATTTTATAAATGAGGTAAGCCCTTCTGAGCTGCTTAAACTTTCTTTTCAACAGAATATACTCATTTTGCCTGCTCACAAATTGCTAGACAAGGTACAGTGAGTATTTTGTCAGAAATATTTAAATGGAGAATGTTCAATGTGGATTTGAATAACAGAAGACAATATAGCACAAAGCTTAGGCAATGGTAACAATAAGGTACACAGGAAACAATTCCATTGTTTAGAGATGTGGAAAAAGCACTTTTACATCCCTTAAGGTCTTGTCAAGCATTAACTTATTAATTTTCAAAGTAGTACAGAAATCTTATTCAGAAACACATACTCTTCTAAACTCACT